CTTTGGAGACTTGGTGTTGGTAAAATGTGCTGTACAAATAAAGTTGGATTGGATTGAACTGGATTGGACTAGATTGGACTAGATTGGACTAGATTGGACTAGATTGGACTAGATTGAACTGGATTCGACTAGATTGAACTGGATTGGACCGGATCAGACCGGATCAGATGGAAGTGCCTGTTATTTTCCTTTAATGAGGTTTTGTGTTTCTCAGACGACAGCAGTCTCAAGATGGCCGACAGCGGGAACGAGTCTGGACCCACACAACACGAGCTGCTGTGCGTCTCCGAGGAGGTGAGGAACATCAGAGAGGAAAAGCTGCACTGTGTAACTTTTCTGTCGGGGGTCCGTCACCTGCTCGTTTCTATGGATACGTCATTTCTGTCTCTGGAATGTTCCACAGTGTGACTTTAAACAGCTCTACTTTACAGGTGTTTTTTTTTAAACCAAAAATATGGAGAAAAACAAACATTCTGACTGTGAGCGAGGTCGCCTCTCCACAGATCTGACCTGTGACTTGGTCTGGTTTGGTCTCCATGATGATAGGTTTAATGTCACACTGTGAAACATTTCAGACAAAACAATAACATCTCCATGGAGAAAAGTGTCTGACAGACCCTCCATCAGAAAAGCTGCACAATGCACTTTAACAGTAGAAATAGTAGTAGTAGTTGTTGTTATTGTAGTAGTAGTAATAGTTATTGTCATACTGGTAATTGTAGTAGTTGCAGTAGTAGTAGTTGTTGTAGCAGTTATTGCAGTTGTAGTAGTATTAGTTATTATAGTAGTAGTAGTAGTAGTAGTAGTAGTAGTAGTAGTAGTAGTAGTAGTAGTAGTAGTAGTAGTAGTAGTAGTAGTAGTAGTAGTAGTAGTAGTAGTAGTAGTAGTTATTGTAGTAGTAGTAGTACTAGTAGTTATTGTAGTAGTAGTACTAGTAGTTATTGTAGTAGTAGCAGTAGCAGTAGCAGTAGCAGTAGTAGTAGTAGTAGTAGTAGTAGTAGTAGTAGTAGTAGCGATAGCAGTAGTACTAGTTATTGTAGCAGCAGTAATAGTAGCAGTAGCAGTAGTAGCAGTAGTAGTAGTAGTAGTAGCAGTAGTAGTAGTAGCAGTAGTAGCAGTAGTAGCAGTAGTAGTAGTAGCAGTAGTAGCAGTAGTAGTAGTTGTACTAGTAGTAGCAGTATTAGTAATAGTAGCAGTAGTAGCAGTAGTAGTTGTACTAGTAGTAGTTGTAGTAGTAGTAGTAGTAGTAGTTGTAGTAGTTTTTGTAGTCATAGTAGTAGTAGTAGCAGTAGTAGCAGTAGTAGTAGTAGTAGTAGTAGTAGTAGTAGCAGTAGTAGTAGTAGTAGTAGTAGTAGTAGTAGTAGTAGTAGTAGTAGTAGTAGTAGTAGTAGTAGTAGTAGTAGTAGTAGTAGTAGTAGTAGTAGTAGTAGTAGTAGTAGTAGTAGTAGTAATAGTAGTAGTAGTAGTAGTAGTAGTAGTAGTAGTAGTAGTAGTAGTAGTAGTAGTAGTAGTAGTAGTAGTAGTAGTAGTAGTAGTAGTAGTAGTAGTAGTAGTAGTAGTAGTAGTAGTAGTAGTAGTAGTAGTAGTAGTAGTAGTAGTAGTAGTAGTAGTAGTAGTAGTAGTAGTAGTTATTGTAGTAGTTGTAGTATTAGTAGCAGTAGTAGTAGTTATTGTAGTAGTTGTAGTAGTAATAGTTATGAGTTATAAATTAAAATAATCCTTTAAAGTTTGACTGTGTAACATTTCTCTGACTGTCGTCCTCCTCGTTTGTCCTCAGTCCAACCACAGCCTGAAGTCGTCCGAGTCCCAGATCCTGGTCCTGATCCTGGACCAGATCCGAGAGCTGCGGGGGTCTGTGAGCGCGCACGTGACCCCCGGCGGCGACCCTCACGTGCACGGCTGCGTCTGGGCCAAACGCATCAACGGCGTCTTCGTGTCGCTGTACGTCCTGACGGCGGCGCTGTTCCTCGGCCTCATGTTCATGCAGTGGGTCGTCTGACAGGAGCTCGTCACCTTCGCCCTCGTGTTCTAGAGTTTTCTGAGCTCGGAGTCGCCGCGTTTACATGACGAGATTTAATTCTGGATTCGGGTTTACGCGGAAAACTCGTTAAATCGTCTTTATTTCATTGAACTCAGCGTCTGGGGGAGGTTCTGATTGGACAGAGACACTTCAGCTGAATCCACGCGTCATTCGTTCATTTGTTTTTCAAAATAAAACCAACAAAAAAACAAAATTTTCTTCGTTATTTGTCTCGAAAACTAAAATGAAAAAATGGATAACGGCCTTTTCCAGTTTCTCTGACTTAAACTATGATGCCGGTCTAAACCAGGACTAAACCAAGACTAAACTAGGTCTAAACCAGGACTAAACCAGTTCTAAACCAGGTCTAAACCAGAACTGAACCAGGTCTAAACCAGGTCTAAACCAGGTCTAAACCAGATCTAAAACAGGACTAAACTAGGTCTAAACCAGGTCTAAACCAAGACTAAACTAGGTCTAAACCAGGTCTAAACCCGGACTAAACCAGGTCTAAACCCGGACTAAACTAGGTCTAAACCAGGTCTAAACCAAGACTAAACTAGGTCTAAACCAGGTCTAAACCAAGACTAAACTAGGTCTAAACCAGGTCTAAACCCGGACTAAACCAGGTCTAAACCCGGACTAAACCAGGTCTAAACCAGGACTAAACAGTCTAAACTAAACCAGACTAAACAGGTCTAAACCAAGACTAAACTAGGTCTAAACCAAGACTAAACTAGGTCTAAACCAGGTCTAAACCCGGACTAAACTAGGTCTAAACCAAGACTAAACTAGGTCTAAACCAAGACTAAACTAGGTCTAAACCAGGTCTAAACCCGGACTAAACTAGGTCTAAACCAGGTCTAAACCAAGACTAAACTAGGTCTAAACCAGGTCTAAACCAAACCCTAAACCAGACTAAACCAGGTCTAAACCAGGACTAAACCAGGTCTAAACCAGGTCTAAACCAGGACTAAACCAGGTCTAAACCAGGTCTAAAACAGGACTAAAACCAGTCTAAACCAGGTCTAAACCAGGACTGAACCAGGACTAGACCAGGACTAAACTGGTCTCAGTCTTGGTCCTCTGGTGATGGTCTCAGTCCCAGTCTGGTCCCGGTCTCAGTCATGGTTTGGTCCCAGTCTCAGTCCTAGTCTCAGTCCTAGTCTGGCCCTGGTCTGGTCCCGGTGTCAGTACCAGTCTGGTCCCAGTCTAGTCCCGGTCTCAGTCCTGGTCTGGTCCCGGTCTCAGTCCTGATCACCTGACAGTTTACATAGGCGCACCTCCGGGCCTGTCCCAACACTCAGTCCTGGTTCAGTCCTGGTTCAGTCCTGGTTTAGTCCTGGTTCAGTCCTGGTTTAGTCCTGGTTTAGTCCTGGTTCAGTCCTGGTTCAGTCCTGGTTTCAGTCCTGGTTCAGTCTGGTTAGTCCTGGTTTAGTCCTGGTTCAGTCCTTCAGTCCTGGTTAGTCCTGGTTCAGTCTGGTTTAGTCTGGTTTAGTCTTGGTTAGTCCTGGTTCAGTCCTGGTTCAGTCCTGGTTCAGTCCTGGTTTAGTCCTGGTTTAGTCCTGGTTCAGTCCTGGTTCAGTCCTGGTTTAGTCTGGTTTAGTCTGGTTTAGTCCTGGTTAGTCCTGGTTTAGTCTGGGTTTAGTCCTGGTCAGTCCTGTTTAGTCCTGGTTCAGTCCTGTCCTGTTTAGTCCTGGTTCAGTTCTGGTTCAGTCTGGTTTTAGTCCTGGTTTAGTCCTGGTTCAGTCCTGGTTTAGTCCTGGTTTAGTCCTGGTTCAGTCCTGGTTTAGTCCTGGTTCAGGCCGTTATCCGTTTTTTCCATTTTTTATTTAAACACAAAATTGAAAACTGAAAAAATGAATCAGTTTTTTCATTTTGGTTTTGGAGGTTTTTGGAGAAAAATAATGAAGAAAATAATTGTTGTTTTTTTCGTTTTCTTATTTTTGGTTTTATTTTGAAAAACAAATTAACGAATGACACACGGATTCAGCTGCTCCCGGCTTTTCTGTCGTCTGTTTGTCGTTGCTCCACGGACACAAACATGATCCAAACTTCTCCCGCGGTCGTTCTGATGATAATTGTGAAGCAGCGACTGGAGAATTGACGAGGAGAAGGAGGAAGAAGAAGACAAAGTGAGTGTGAGGCTGTTCCACCTCCGCCCACCCCCACATCCCTCTCACAAATCCAAAGAGACGAGGAGGAAAGTCCGAAGCCACGACTGATGGAGCCGGATCGAAGGACGACGCAACCATCAAGAACCACCGGGATTATTTTTCATTAAAAAAATTTCCTACATTTTGCCCAGATTTTCACTTTATGAGAAGCAAAACTGTCATTACAGGAGTTTAGTTAGTCCAATTTTAATCCTGTTTTAGTCCTTTTTTTAGTCCAGTTTTAGTCATATTTTAATCCAGTTTTAGTCCAGTTTTAGTCTTGTTTTAGTCCAGTTTTAGTCATATTTTAATCCAGTTTTAGTCCAGTTTTAGTCTTGTTTTAGTCCAGTTTTAGTCTTGTTTTAGTCCAGTTTTAGTCCAGTTTTAGTCTTGTTTTAGTCATATTTTAATCCTATATTAGTCCTGTTTTAGTCCAGTTTTAGTTCTGTTTTAGTCCTTTTGTCATCCTGTTTTAGTCCTATTTTAGTCTTGTTTTAGTCCAGTTTTAGTCTTGTTTTAGTCATATTTTAATCCTATATTAGTCCTTTTTTTAGTCCAGTTTTAGTCATATTTTAATCCAGTTTTAGTCCAGTTTTAGTCTTGTTTTAGTCCAGTTTTAGTCTTGTTTTAGTCCTGTTTTAGTCCAGTTTTAGTTCTGTTTTAGTCCTTTTGTCATCCTGTTTTAGTCCTATTTTAGTCCCGTTTTAGTCCCAGTTTAGTCCAGTTTTAGTCCCGTTTTAGTCCCAGTTTAATCCAGTTTTAGTCCCGTTTTAGTCCCGTTTAGTTCCAGGGTTTAATCCTGATTTAGACCTGGTTTAGTATGTAGTCCTAATTTAGTCCCGTGTTAGTCCCATTTTAGTCTTGTTTTAGTCCCGTTGAAAGTCCGAAGCCAGAACTGATGGAGCCAGATCGAAGGACGACATGAGTAAGAACGGCCGGAATTATTTTTAACAAGAATAAATGAGAAACATGATCCAGGAAGAAATGTATTTGGCTTTAAAATCAGAATAAACCATCCAATTACTTACGAATGACGTTTAATTCCGAATAATCATTTTCATGAAGTGTTTACATGGACTTTTTAAAGCAGAATTCATTTTTATTCAGAGTAAAATGATTTTTATTCTGAATTCAATCTCTCATGTAAACGCTGCGACTGTTATAATGCTTTAAAGATGCACTATGTAACTTTCCTGGTTTGGATTCTGCTACTTATTGCGTTGCCTTGAATGTTCCACAGTACGGCATTAAACATGTCTTGAACTGATTAAAGGTGCATTGTGTAACTTCTCTGGCTCAGGGTCTTTCACGAAGGTCGGATTTTGCAGGATTCTTTTCTGTTTTCACAACATAAACTTTTTAAAATGTTTAAATCCTCGTTGTTCCTAAAGTGATGTTTGTCAGACTGAGCCTCGTTGCTCCGAGCCGCTCCGAGCCGTTTCGAGCCGCTCTGAGCCACGCAAAGCCGCTCCGAGCCACGTCAAGATGCTCCGAGCTGCTCCGAGCCGCGTCGAGACGCTCCGAGCCGTTTTGAGCTGCTCCGAGCCATTTCGAGACACTCCGAGCCGCTCCGAGCCGCATTGAGACACTCCGAGCCGTTTCGAGATGTTTCGAGACATTCTGAGCCGCTCCGAGCCGCTTCGAGCCGCTTCGAGCCACTCCGAGACGCTCCGAGACGCTCCGAGACGCTCCGAGCCATTTCGAGACATTCTGAGATGCTCCGAGCCGCTTTGAGACATTCTGAGATGCTCCGAGCCGCTTTGAGACACTCCGAGCCGTTTCGAGATGTTTCGAGACATTCTGAGACACTCCGAGCCGCTCCGAGCCATTTCGAGACATTCTGAGACGCTCCGAGCCACGCAAAGCCGCTCCGAGCCGCGTCGAGACACTCCGAGCCGCTCCGAGCCATTTCGAGCCGCTCCGAGCCGTTTTGAGCTGCTCCGAGACGCTCTGAGAAGCACCGAGACGCTCCGAGCCGTTTCGAGACGCTTTGAGCCGTTTTGAGCTGCTCCAAGACGCTCCAAGCCATTTCGAGACACTCCGAGCCGCTCCGAGATGTTTCGAGACATTCTGAGACGCTCCGTGCCGCTCAGAGTCGTTTCAAGCCGCTCCGAGCCGCTCTGAGCTGCTCTGAGCCGCTCCGAGCCGCTCCGAGCCATTTCGAGACACTCCGAGCCGTTTTGAGCTGCTCCGAGCCGCTCTCACTCCGGACGTCACACAGGTGGGAGGAGCTCGCCAGGATTGAGGAAGTAAATGTGGAAGAGAAAATTATTTTTGGGCCCATCACAAATCACTGAAAACAACTCGATGCATCTTGGAATTATCTTCAGATTTTATTACAGTTCAATGAATCGAAGGATATGATACTGGGAGCTGCAGGAGCCAATAGTCGATTTAAAAGCCGATATAATTAGTGATGTAAAAGTGACTGTAAATCTTCAATTAATTATAAAACTTAGGTTTGTCTCTACTGGATTTTAAACTGGTTTTATTTACACTGCCTGTATCGTTATTCTGCCTTTTTATTTCATATTGGGTCAGTCCGTATGAAATCAGCAGTTTTTAAGGAATCTTCCCCATCTCAGATTTGGCTGGAAAATTTTCCAAAAAATTCTAAAATCACCAAATGAAAGAATCTAAAATTTTTGCTCAGTCTCTTGAGTCGTTCCTGAGTTATGGCCTGTTGAAATTTTGGGGCCCTGCTCACTTTTTCTGAAGCCTTAATTTATAAACATGTTTGAGAGACCAGAACTTAAAAAAACTGAGCTAGGAAACAGAAAATTTGTATTATTGTAGATTCTTTGTCGTAGATTCTGTTGTCAAATATTGTGTATCTTTATTAAGGGGGGCGCTGTGGGCCCCCAGAATCTCACATTTGTTTTGTTTTTTTATTTTTGTGATCCAAGATTTATTTACTCCAAGCAAATATTTACAAACTGTTGAACCTGAATATTTGAGAGAATGAACATTTCTGACACGATCTCACACTTTTCTGAGTTTTCATGTGGACGGTGTCGAGTCTCAAAAATCGTCACAGACCAAATTCCCCATGTGGCACTGTTAGATGTTGATCAAATTTTTACCAGAGAAACTTTGACATATTCTGATTAGTTTAAAGTAATAAAAACATCGACTATTAACTTCCTTCATTTCAAACGGAATTTTTAAAAATGAGTCTCAGGGGTCAGTTTTGGTGGAGCTTAGGGACTTTTTCACCTGACAGAAAGATTCATTTCCCTTTAATAAACTTAAACACTATTTGTTTGTTATAAGGGAAGACAGTTGTATAGATAAATGCGTGTGCTCCGTGGTAATTCATAATATGAGTAAATGTCGATCATTCACATCTTTATTCACAGCTCATTTACATATCAACACAATCCAGTAACATGTGAAGAGTCCAGGTAGAATCTATGTCAAGGAGAAAAATCAGTTTGTCGACTGGACAAAAGTTTGAAAGTTTGGTTGAAGATGTTTCTCAGTTCATCCAAGCTGCTTCTTCAGTTCTGGTCAGACGCTGGTGACACTTCCTTATATCTGTCTGCAGGGAGGAGCTAACTACACTGAAACTACACTGAAACTAACACCTACTTGTTTACAGTTTCTGTTTGTTAGTTGGGCCTGTTGACCTGTACAGGGTGTGGGGTCTAATTAACAGAACAATTCATGTCCATAATGAAGCTTCCACACCTCTGGTCCTGACCTGACTACACCTGTTCTGTTTTTTGTTTTGATTTAGGTTTGAGGATGGAGTTGTAAATAGGAGAGTTTGAGTGTCTAAGTCTACGTTCAGACTGCAGGGTTTAATGCTCAATTCTGATTTTTTTGTGAAATCCTGATGTTTTTTCGAGGTCGTTCACATTTCCAGTTAAATGTGACTTGTATGTGACTCCAGTGTGAACATTAAACGGTCCAAAAGTGTCCCACATGTGACACTGGAGACACGACGACGTCAACCTCAGCGAGCGTCTCTGTGTTTACAGAAGTTGTCCAAACATGGACGCAGCATCGAGCACCTGGAGATTTTAAAGTTCCTCTTGTACCGGAGCCACAACATGAACAACTTACTTGTTTTAAGGAGGAGATTGAGAAGGAGAAGGACGAGGTTTTTGGTCGTGGTGTTTTGTGTGGTGAGTGGAGTGGAGATGTGCTTCACTTCAGTGACACAGAGTTCATTAACAACTTTCACCTACTTCAGTGCAGAATAGTGACGTTTGTGTCTTGTTGATAACGTGTAGGTGGATGAATGCACTTTGTCCGTTCACACTGAAGCACATGTCAAAAGATCAGATATGTATCAGTTTCAGGAGCACATATCCAAGTGTCCTGTGTCACATTTGAAAAAATCTGATCTGTGTCGTTCAGACTGACATTAAAAGATCAGATACAGGAACATAGAGGCCAAAAAATCAGATTTGGCTCACTTCAGGCTGCAGTCTGAACGCAGCCTTAAGTCCATTTCTGTTTAGAGAAGGATTCTCGTTCTTAACAAAAACAGCTTCTTTCACTCCCCTCTCAAACCAATTCTTTTCTCTGACTAAAATCTGTACCTCACTGTCCTCAAATGAGCGGCCTGTGGCTTTTAAGTGGAGATGCACAGCAGACTGAGGTCCTGTGTTGCTCTCTCGTCTGTGTTGGTTCATCCTCTTGTAGTCTTCACTGAAAACTCTCCACTGTGGGGCTGTTGGGACGTGGGGGCAGAACGTTCCAGAGTTTGGGGCCGGAGCCTTTGAGTCTCGTTTTAGGCCCCACGAGCTGGAGCTGGACCTCGCACCTCAGAGCCCACGAGGGAGTGAACCTGGATGATACAACACGGGGGCAGCACATTCAAAGCTTTAAAAACAAACAATAAAATCTTAAAACTATGACTTAGGACGTGTTCAAGAAAGAAAAAAACGGCTTTGGATAAAAGACGCAGATGATTAAAGCCAGATTTGACGACGGTTTTTCAAATTTAAAATCAGTGTCAGTAGTGACGCCGAGGCTGGTGATATGGAAGAGAATTTGTCCCATCAGATTTTGAATTTTAAATACCACTGAATTTCTCACTTAAATTTTTTAAGTCTGAAAAAAGATGTTTGAATTATTTTTATTCTGAATTTTAGTTGCTGAAATGTGAAGTTTACTTGCGTGTACTATGTTTTAAATTCAAAATAAAAAAATCACCACGGATATTTTCAAGCCCTCAAATTCAACAGTCGAAATTCAGAGTGTGTAAAATTTGCAGTGAAAAATTTTATAGTAAAGATTCAAGAGGCCAAGGCAGAAGCAATCGATCATGTGTGAGTGAGAAACACAGAGGCTGTTTCCTATTGGCTGCTCACTTTGGATCGATTGCTTGGGCCTTGACATCTTGGATCTTTCCTGTGAATTTTTTTGTTGTGAATTTTACACTCTGAATTTCGACTGTTGAGTTTGAAGGCTTGAAAATATTTGTGCTGAATAATAAACACCTTGAAAATGTACACTTAAAATTTCAGCAACTAAAGTTCGTAATAAAAATAATTCAAACGTGTTTTTTCAGAGTTTAAAAATTCAAAGTGGGAAATTCAACAGCGTTTAAAATTCAAAATCTGATGAAACAAATTATCTTCCACGTGGTGACGTCTGCTTTCGAGTGCAATAAACACAACCAATAAACACAGCTTTTATCTCAGTCTTTTTTGTGTTTGTGATCATATTAAACACACAATTTAACCCCGCCCTCTTTTCTTTCATCTCTTTTTTTCTCTCTCGTTCTTTGTTTCTTTCTGTTCATTCATTTTCATTACGTGGGCCACAGCAGAGAGCCCATTACCACGGCCGCACAATCACATTAATAAAACACATTTATCCCACGCTCGTCATCCGAGACCATCTCCTCCCGGAAACATGACAGATCCCAGACTTTCCCGTGGACTCAGACCAGACCAGACCAGACCGACCCAGACTACGAGGGTCCAGCGGGCGGGACGACTCAGACCAAACCAGACCAGACCGACCCAGGCTCCGAGGGTCCAACAGGTGGGACTCATGGGGACTTTATGGATTCTTCTGCTCTTTACAGGTGAGCACGATACGCTATTCATTTTTAAACATATTTCAAATCTTACACGTGCATCCTCAAACATTTTTCTCCATGGAGATGTTGTTGCTTTGTCTGGAATGTTCCGCAGTGTGACTTTAAACAGCTCTACTGTACATTTATTCAGTTACAAGTGGTTTTAAAGCTCAAAAATACTTAGAAAACCAGAAGCTCTGACTGTGAGCGGAGTCGCCTCCCCACAGATCTGACCTGTGACTCGGTCTGGATTGGTCTCCGCTAAAGCCACACTGTGGAACATTCCAGACAAATCAACATCTCCATGGAGAAAAGTGTCGAACCCTCCACCAGGAAAGTTACACAATGCACTTTAACATCAGTAGTAGTTGCAGTTGTAGTAGTAGTAGTAGTAGTAGTAGTAGTAGTAGTAGTAGCTGTTACTGTACTAGTAGTCGTTATTGTAATAGTTGTAGTAGGCGTTATTGCAGTACTACTACTAGTAGTAGTAGTTGTAGTAATAGTAGTTGTAGTAGTAGTTATTGTAGTACTTGCAGTAGTATTTATAGTAGTTATGGTAGTAGTTGCATTTGTAGTAGTAGTTATTGTAGTAGTAGTAGTTGTTGTTGTAGTAGTAGTAGTTGTAGTAGTAGTAGTAATAGTAGTAGTAGTAGTAATAATAGTAGTAGTTGTAGTTTAGTAGTAGTTATTGTAGTACTTGCAGTAGTATTTATAGTAGTTATGGTAGTAGTTGAATTTGTAGTAGTAGTTATTGTAGTAGTAGTAGTAGTTGTTGTTGTAGTAGTAGTTATTGCAGTACTAGTAGAAGCAGTTATTGTAGTACTAGTAGTAGTTATTATAGTAGTTGTTGTAATAGTTACTTCAGTAGTAGTAATTACTGTAGTAGTAGTTACTGTAGTAGTAGTTATTATAGTAATTGTAGTAGTTACTGTAGTAGTAGTAGTAGTAGTAGTAGTTATTGTAGTAGTTGTAGTAGTAGTAGTAGTTATTGTAGTAGTTGTAGTAGTAGTAGTAGTTATTGTAAGTAGTAAGTTATTGCAGTAATAGCAATTCCTGTAGTAGTAGTAGTAGTTATTATAGTAATTGTAGTAGTAGTTACTGTAGTAGTAGTAATAATAGTAGTAGTTATTATAAGTAGTAATTAATGCAGTAGTAGTTAATGTAGTAGTACTAGTAGTTATCGTAGTAATAGTTGTAGTAGTAGTAGTAGTAGTAGTAGTTATTGCAGTTTTTGTAGTAGTAGTAGTAGTAGTAGTTATTGCAGTAGTAGTAGTAGTAGTTATTGCAGTAGTTGTAGTAGTAGTTTTTGTAGTAGTAGTAGTAGTAGTAGTAGTTATTGCAGTAGTAGTAGTTTTGTTTACTTTTTTTTCTCTAAGCCGATGCTCTCGATCTGTTGAAGAAAGTGAAACTGGATCTAAATGGATGTAAACAGACGCGTGGTTTGAGTTTGTTGTAGTAGTAGTACTTCTTGTAGTTATTGTAGTAGTAGTTTTTGTAGTAGTTTTGTTGTATTATTTGTGTTTGTAAAGTGCGTACAGATGGACAGAGGCCCAGTCTGACCCCGAGCACTTGCGCTGGATCTAAATGGATGTAAACAGACGTGTGGTTTGAGGAGGAAGGACAGAGTCGTTCCAAAAGCTTCAGAGTCATTGTTGTTTATCTGAAATGTGGGGCTTTCTGCGACCGCACTCACAGACTCAAACTCCCGCTGATCATTCTTCAGACCGCAGAGTGAGACGCAGAGAGACCATTTACATTTCCAAGAACACTTTTTCAAATTCGAGGAACAAGAAAATGTAAAGATTCGGTCCGGGGACATGACCTGGAGTCGGCTGAAGCTTGAGTTTATTCTGTTTTTACGCTTGATTTCTTTATCTTCACACGAGTTCATTCATAAAAACAGGGAGAGGAAACAAAAAAATAAATCAGTAACAGCACGGAAAAGTACTACAGCACAAAAGCGTCATAATTCATGTATATGCTCAGAGTTAAACTTTTAATCTTCTTTATAAACTGAAACAGAGCGGTGAACAGTTTGATGTTTTCTGTACAGTTTTTCCAAAGCTCCAGACTTTTAACAGATTTTACTACATTTTATAATGTTTGTTCTGATTTTCTACTACTACTACTACTACTACTACTACTACTACTACTACTACTACTACTACTACAACTACAACTACTATAACTACTACTACTACTACTACTACTACTACTACTACTACTACTACTACTACTACTACTACTACTACTACTACTACAACTACTACTACTACTACTACTACTACTACTACTACTACTACTACTACTACTACTACTACTACTACTACTACTACTACTACTACTACTACTACTACTACTACTACTACTACTACTACTACTACTACTACTACTACTACTACTACTACTACTACTACTACTACTACTACTACTACTACTACTACTACTACTACTACTACTACTACTACTACTACTACTACTACTACTACTACTACTACTACTACTACTACTACTACTACTACTACTACTACTACTACTACTACTACTACTACTACTACTACTACTACTACTACTACTACTACTACTACTACTACTACTACTACTACTACTACTACTACTACTACTACTACTACTACTACTACTACTACTACTACTACTACTACTACTACTACTACTACTACTACTACTACTACTACTACTACTACTACTACTACTACTACTACTACTACTACTACTACTACTACTACTACTATAACTACTACTACTACTACTACTACTAGTACTACTAGTACTACTACTACTACTACTACTACTACTACTACTACTACTACTACTACTACTACTACTACTACTACTACTACTACTACTACTACTACTACTACTACTACTACTACTACTACTACTACTACTACTACTACTACTACTACTACTACTACTACTACTACTACTACTACTACTACTACTACTACTACTACTACTACTACTACTACTACTACTACTACTACTACTACTACTACTACTACTACTACTACTACTACTACTACTACTACTACTACTACTACTACTACTACTACTACTACTACTACTACTACTACTACTACTACTACTACTACTACTACTACTACTACTACTACTACTACTACTACTACTACTACTACTACTACTACTACTACTACTACTACTACTACTACTACTACTACTACTACTACTACTACTACTACTACTACTACTACTACTACTACTACTACTACTACTACTACTACTACTACTACTACTACTACTACTACTACTACTACTACTACTACTACTACTACTACTACTACTACTACTACTACTACTACTACTACTACTACTACTACTACTACTACTATACTACTACTACTACTACTACTAATACTACTACTACTACAACTACTACTACTAGTACTACTAAGTACTACTACTACTACTATAACTACTACTACTACTACTAGTACTTCTACTACTACTATAACTACTACTACTACTACTACTACTACTACTACTACTACAATGACTATTACAACAATAACTACTAATTTTACTATTACAGTAACTACTACTACTACAATAAATACTTCTATTACTACAATAACTACTACTACTACTACTACAATAACTACTACTACAATAACTACTACTACTACAGTAACTACTAGGACTACAATAACTACTACTACTACAGTAACTACTACTACAACTACTACAATAACTACTACTACTACTGCTACAATAACTAGTACTACTACAATAACTACTACTGCTAGTACTATAATAACTACCACTACAATAACTACTACTACTGCTACAATAACCACTATTACTACTACAATAACTACCACTACTACAATAACTACTACTACTACAATAACTACTATGACTCCTAAAATAACTACTACAACTACTACATTAATTACTACTGTTACAATAACTACTACTACTGCAATAACTACTACTACTAGTACAATAAATACTATTACTACAATAACTAATACTACCACAGTAACTTCTACTACTGAGTTCATATTCTGTATTTCATCTAAATAAAGTTGTTGTGGTATTTCAGATTTAATGATTTTGACAAGAGATTGTTGTTGTTTTATAAATAACACATTGGTTGGTTCTTTATAAACTGATAATGTGATTGCTCATGTTCATATTTTTTTGCAAGGTAAAGATTGGATTTAAAGCCACACTCTGGAACATTCCCAGGAAATCAATAGCACTGATACAGAGACAAGTTACATGATGCACGTTCATGACTCTGTTGAGGAGTGAAGTGTTTATGGTGAGCTCTGCCTGCACTGCTGTGTGTGTCCTGTAGGGGGCGTGGCGGCGCGGACCTGCAGGTTCCACGACGTCCTGGAGCATCTGAATCTGACGCGGGACAACGAGCTTTTCTACATGACGCGCCCCGTCAACGACCACCGACAGGCCACGCTCGTCAGCATGGAGATGTGTCTGTACGCCATCCTGGACGTGGTCAGTCACAGAGGAGATCTTTAAACAAAAACATAGTCCAGGCTAAGAGACCTTTTTCACATCGGTCGGAAGTAACTTTACAGCGGGGGCACTTCTGGTCAATGTGCAAAAGGTCTTTTCAATAGATGCATCAAGAATCTCAGACTACCGGTTATTGCATCTATACTGGGAAGGATTTTCTGAAAAAGTGAGCATCAAACCTCCATGTTTGATTTCCCAGCGGGATGCGTCTATTGACAAAGTCGATCTTTCGAGTGGTGAAGGTGATGGGCAGGATTGATCCACAGGAAGAACCAAAAGAAGGAAACCTTTGGCTGCCGAAGAAATCATCCCGAGTTTGCAGAGAACATTTTAAGTGGAGCGCCTTCAAAGTAAAATCCCGATCTCAACCTTATTTACGAATTTAAAAAGTCAACGCCAAAGTGAAAGGCTCCAACTGTTCACCAAGAAACACCTTCCACTGCAAAGAGACCAAGACGTGATGTTGCTGTAAAACCACAAGAACAAGAAAGTGCAGCTCAGTCTGTTTGTCTTCTGCTCCTCTCACTTAACAAACGGGATTTTACTTTGTTGTCGCTCCACATACAAAATGTTCTCTGTAAACTCAGGATGATTTCTTAGTCAGATAAATGTTTCCTTTTTGGTTCTTCCTGTGGATCAATCCTGCCCATCACCTTCACCTTTCACTATTTTTCAATTCCGTTGGGAAGAGAAACAGTTTGAACGGAGGTTTGAGTCACACACATCTGATTCACTTTTGCATTTATGGAGTTCGCAAACAAATTTCTCGAGCCGTTTTTCTCTGTTAGGATCCAACAAACACACAATGATGATGTCCGAATCCCAAAACTAAAATATGACAACATCAGAACCAGAAACAAAAGTGATATGGTTCAAAAGACTTGAAAAGATCGACTTTGTCAATAGACACATCCCACTGGGAAAACAAACATGGAGGTTTTGATGATCACTTTTTCGGAAAATCCTTCCCAGTCTGCATAGAATCGGTCTGAGTGAACAAGTTCCTTCTGTTTAATTTATGACCATAACATTAGTTTAGTTCAGTTTGTCACTAAAGCATCGTCGTTGTTGTTTCCTTTAAGTTTTGTTCTTTCTTCTCTTGATCGTTGTGGATAAATTGTTCATGTTAGAATCTTTATCCTTTGTGGAGTTCGTTGGTTGAAGTTTTGGTGATGGAGCAGATTTATGAAGCTGCTGGAGACACACATTTACACAGATATTTTGCCACAGAAAAACAATAACCGGAAGTTCTGTAGACCCTGTAATTGTGTAAAAGGTGTATTATTGGATATCTCTGGAACATACTTCTGGGGGCAGGAAAAAAGGCTATTACAAAAAAATGGATGACACAAACAGCACCATCAATCAGAGACTGGTCGGAAATTATAAATGAAATTCAGAAAATGGAAAAAAATTACATTTGGACTTAATTTGAAAATGGACCTTTTTGACAAACTTTGGACCAAATGAGACTCATATGCCGTAACATTATTTAAATTTAAATGTAATATAAAAACATAGGATGCAGTCTGTCAAATTAGTTTTCTCTCTAAGTCATGTTCACTGTTTTGTGTTATGTGTTGTTTACCTTTTCATTAAAACTGAAAAAAAAAGAAAAAAGAAAAAGGTCAGACCTGTGGAGAGGCAAGCCTGTCCACAGTAAGAATGTCAGTTTGTTAATAAAAAGTAAAAAAAAAAAAGAATGCCGGTTTGCAAGTGTAGCATCCCGGTTGAAATGACGGTCTCATAGACTGATGGTTCACAACTTTTATTTTTGGGCCTTGTTTGTGAACACACCGTAAGAGCTACAAAAAAGGGAAATAAAAAACAATTAGCTCTTACAGTTTACCTTTTACTCCTTTTAACCATTTATGACAACCTGACAATTACTGTTTACCAACAACAAATCTTATAAAACCTGAACCTTGCTATTAATCTATATTGAACAAAAAAATACACATTAAAATTGTCGAACTGCGCGTAACATTGCTTAGGCGAAGCGCACTGGCGCCATCTAGTGGCTTAAATTATAACAGAGAATTGTAACGGCTCAACGTATTCCTTACTAACCTTGTTCCCACATCAACCAGGTGCTAAACTGGGGTAGACCATATATTAACTTAAAATACAGGTTCCGTAACTTTTAGATTAAATAAACTAAATTTTCCGTTGTGCTCAGTCAGTTAGCCGCACAGACTGTTAGCCGGGAGGTAAACATCCGCTCTCACGTGGCCGCTTCCGGTTGTACAGCGGCCTTTCAAAATAAAAGCATGGAACAAACGTATTACAATACTTACAAACAAAAGTAGCAGAAGTACAGAAAATACATGAGATCATTTACAGCAAGGATATATTCATAATAAAAACACCAGTAAATGAATAAATGTTGATGCGTCATTTACGGTGGAACATTACAGAGAAACCCTTAACATCTCCATGGAGACAGGCAGGTGTCGGACCCTCCACCCACACTGTTCTGACTGTTCTGTGTTTTTCAGGTGGAGAAAGATCAGAAGTTCATCTCTTACGTTTGGACCATCATGGTGAGAGACGTTTGAATAAAAACTTTATCTCCACATGTGAGGTCCTGCTCCTGAACCTTTAACTAAACTTCCTTCTCTTTATTTGATTTCTTGTCTTTTATTTTTTTTTTTTTTTTTTGCTGAAATCCAGAAGTGGCAGAACGACTTCATCAGCTGGAACCCGGACGACTTCTGTGGCATCAGGAACGTGTCTATTCCCTTTGAGGTCCTGTGGAAACCGGACATCACCATCGAGGAGATGTAAGAGCGCGACCTCCACACACTCACGGCTCAGACGCAACAAATCTGACCACAGGGAGTGAGGAGCTTCACACAAACACAGTCATTATGTGAAAGTTGAAAGTTATAGGAGACCCGAGGTAGTTTGAGAAGGTTAAAAATACTAATACTGTCTGTTCAGTTCAGTTCACAAATTTCAAAATGTACTAGTTCGTTCATAGTTCATAATTTGTTCTTCTTTTTCAGTACGTTGCGGCGAGTGATTCTTTTTCAATATCATTATCAAAGCCCAAAGAGAACCACAGACAGAAAATATTTGATCCGTTTTAAAGGTTGTATAGAGGATTTTTTTAAGGGAAGAGAAATACAGCGACAGTTCTTTTACAAATGTTGTGCCTGCGTGACACCACCTTCATCCTCCACAGCCTCAGTAGAAACATCTCCTCCCGCCTCTTTACTCTAGAAATCACTTTTTTTTTTACAGCCAGTGCCCGTTCAGAATTACTGTTGAAATGACCTGTCTAGAAATAATTTATCGACCGACGCGTCAGTTTTTAGACCCTTCGTCCGCTTCATTCGCGCAATCACTGGAAGGAATCTCTGAGAATCACCTCGGTTTCTCTTCGCTCCTTTTCCCCTTCTCTTCGTCTTTCAGCGACCTCAAAAAACGACTTTCTTTTGCGGCGAACTGGTCGTGGATTCTCGTCCGCCGACGCGACAAACTTTGTGAGAAATGTGAGGAAGCTACAGTTTGAAAAAGCCTCTAAGAACCGCTGCATAAACCACATGATCCCTGCATCCCGACGAGTCAGTTACACTAGAAACGTAGGGAGTTTGATTGACGACCTGACAGCCAATAGAAAATGAGGCAGCCTCGTTTTCTATTGGCTGATGTTTATCTGGCCTCAACACGTCCACAGTTGATAGATTTTCATTCTTTTTTTTTTTTTGGTCATCATAATTCCAAGGCTGCTGCATCTCTGTAATGGTATTTTAAACTTTCATTGACAATTTGAAACAAAAAAAAAATCCTCCATACAACCTTTAACAATCAAACTCTGTGTTAGATTTCACCTTTATATAAAATTTTGAATCCTGAGCCGCCCAGAGTCTCACACGAGCGTTGAGGGAACAGTGCTTCTCCAGAGTTTCTGTGTCTCAAAAGGAGCAGCTGCAACTTTCACCTCGACAATACAGACGGATTATTAGTTTAGTGTGACCATATTTCCGTTTGTGAAAACCAGGACACCGTACGGAAGGTGGGAGGTGGGGCCTCATCATCGACATTGAGCTACTCTCACCTGGCAAAGTTTTTTAATGTTTATCAGTGTCCTGGTACTTTGAGGTCCCTGACACCACCACTGGACACCGAAGCTTATGTGCTGCTTTGTTCACTGTGCACATGGACTCACACTTGCCTCGACCGGGACAGAACGCGGGGAATTTCTTGTACAAGTCATCGTTAAATGTGCAATTGCGCTTCAGCATGTTGTAAACTGACCGACTGTTTGTGCCTCGCTCCTTCTGATGCACAGAAGCTACGAGAGACGCTCAGTTTAATGAAAGAAAATGAAAACCCGGACATTTTCGTCACATGAATTGTTCTGTTAATTAGACCCCACACCCTGTACAGGTCAACAGGCCGAACTAACAAACAGAAACTGTAAACAAGTAGATGTGTTAGTTTCAGAGGAGTTTCAGTGTAGTTAGCTCCTCCCTGCAGATATAAGGAAGTGTCACCAGTGTCTGACCAGAACTGAAGAAGCAGCTTGGATGAACTGAGAAACATCTTCAACCAAACTAACTTTTGTCCAGTCAACAAACTGAATTTTCTCCTCAACATGGATTCTACGTGGACGACTGAGGGATTCTTCACACATTACTTTATAAAAAAAAAAAAAAAACCCGGAAGGCCAGAACAGGACGTGAAAAACGGACCATGTCCAGGGATAAACGGGATGTTTGGTCACCCTGTATTAGTTTGTTGTTGTTCTGTGTCTGTGTGGCTCACGTGCAGCTGCAGTGTGAGTGAGCGCTGCTGCTGTCAGAACGGTGATACAGTGTTTTAACTTTATCACCGTGTGGTAAAATAAGTTGTGATGTTAAATGAACTTTAGTGAGTGGGAAACGTCTTAACGACCCATGTGTGTTAAATCAGGTGAGTGCGTAAATGACGAGAAGAAACGTTTCAAACTTCAGAAGCCAGAAATCCTCTTACACCTGATCCATACACCTGTCCCCGCCCCCGAGAGTCTGAAATCTACTGAAATCTACAAGACACTGACATGATACAGACAGAACAGAGGCTCTTTCTACACTCTGATCATTCACACCTGTTTGTTTACAATAGGATGTTAGTTTCAGAGTAGTTTCAGTGTAGTTAGCTCCTCCCTTCAGCAGATATAAGGTCGTGTCACCAGAGTCTGACCAGAATTGAAGAAGCAGCCTGGATGAGCTGAGAAACATATTCGACCAAAATAAAATTTTGTCCAGTTGATGAATTGAATTTCTCCGTTTGCCGTGGATTCTACCTGAATGACTGAGGGGTTTTACACACAATCTGTTCTAGAGTTAATTTAACACTTGTTGTTCATGTTAATTAAGTAACACTGGGCCAAAGTTCCTGTTTAACCCGAAATCAAGAGTTATATTAACGTTTTGAGAGTAAACGGATAACACTTTTTAGAGTTATCCTGATTTAGCTGAACAACACACAGAGGAGTTTTATTTTTACATTTTATTTGAGTTAATCTAAAATGAAATTATGAACAAAACTGATTCAAACTGGTCTTCTCTTGTGGGAGTTTAAAGTGGTGGGTGCGAGGTGACAAATTAACACTAGGAGAAGTAGAATTAACACTAATGGAAGTTGAATTAACACTAGAGGAAGTTGAATTAACACTAGTGGACGATGAATGAACTTCAACCATATCAAATTAGCAAAATAACCCCAACTCCAACCCCCATTTAACTTTCAATCGTTAAAATTGACACTTTTTCAATTAAAAACAACTCTGAAATATTTTACCCTGAAATTTTAACCCTCCAGTTTTTGCTGTGTACATTCATTAACTTATGGGCCAAATGACAGATGTTTTTATTCTTCTTCTGGACATTTTTACCGTAACATTTTCAATAGAGTTTTGAAGATAAGTGTGATAAAAGTGTTTATTTCTTGTAAAATCTTGTTGTTTTGTCGTGAGGGTGGAGAAGGACAAGGCCCCGCCCAGTCTTCACCTGTACATCCGCTCCAATGGGGAGGTGGAGGTGCAGAACGACCAGGTGTTGGTGAGCACCTGCAGGATGAGAGTCCACAGGTTTCCCTTCGACACTCAGAGCTGCAACCTGTCCTTCAAGTCCGTCATCCACACAGGTCCTCCTCTGCTCCATCTGCTTCATCTGACCTTCTCCTCTGCTCCATCTGCTCCTCTGACCTTCTCCTCTGCCCATCTGCTTCCTCTGACCTTCTCCTCTGCTCCTCTTCCACTGACCTTCTCCACTGCTCTCTGACCTCTCTGCTCCTGACCTCTCTCCTCTGCTCTTCTGACCTTCTCCTCTGCTCTTCTAACCTTCTCCACTGCTCCATTTGAAATCTCCACTGACCTTCTCCTCTGCTCTTCTAACCTTCTCCACTGCTCCATTTGAACATCTCCTCTGCTCCATCTGCTCTTCTGACCATCTCTTCTGCTTCTCTGACCTTCTCCTTTGCTCCATCTGATCCTCTCACTTTCTCCTCTGCTCCTCTGACCTTCTCCTCTGCTCCTCTCACTTTCTCCTCTGCTCCTCTGACCTTCTCCTCTGTTTTTCAGTGAACGACATTCAGCTCGTTGCCAGTGAGAATTCTAAAGAGGCCACAGAACAGTCCAAGGACGTGATGAGGATTCAGTACGAGTGGCTCTTCATCGACATCAACGTCTACAACACCACGACGGAGGAGAACCAGGACATGGTGGTCTACGTGGTACGTATGTGGACGTCTGCTCGTCTCCATGGAGATGTTGTTGCCCAAAGTGTTCCACTCTTCTTCTCCTCCTCTTCTTCTCCTCCTCTTCTTTTAGTCCTCTTCTTCTTGTCTCTTTTTCTCGTTCTCTTCTTCTCATCCTCTTCTTCTGGTCCTCTTCTTCTCCTTCTCTTCTTCTTCTCCTCCTATTCTTCTCATCCTCTTCATCTCGTCCTCCTCTTTTTCTCTTCTTCAGGTGAACATGAGCCGTCGCTCTCTTCTGTACATTGTGAACTTCCTGCTCCCTGTTCTTTTCTTCCTGTGCTTGGATTTGTCGTCGTTCCTCATTTCTCACGGCGGAGGAGAGAAGCTCACGTTTAAAGTCACGGTTCTTCTCGCCATCACCGTCCTCCAGCTCATCCTCAACGAGATCCTGCCCGCCTCGTCCGACCGCATCCCCCTCATCGGTATGGACGGGTTCAGGGTTCAAATCCCACAGCATCACACACGAGTCCATGTGTTCACCTGCTCTGCTCCACAGCGTTGTACTGCATCGGGATCTTCGCCCTGATGCTGCTGAGTCTCCTGGAGACCATCGTGGTCATGTACCTGATGAAGAAGGACGAGCACCCGCCGCCGCCGAGAGACGACGAGGAGGAGACCGCAGGCTGTATGACCGAAGACAGCAGAGATCACAGGCAGAGATGACTTCACTCACAGACTAGACTTAGACTCACAGAGACTCAACAGAGACAGACTAGACACAGAGACTACTCACAGACTCACACAGACACAGACTCACACAGACTCACAGAGACTCACAGAGACTCACAGAGACTCACAGAGACTCACACAGACTCACAGAGACTCACAGAGACTCACACAGACTCACAGAGACTCACAGAGACTCACAGAGACTCACAGAGACTCACACAGACTCACACACACAGACTCACACAGACTCACACACACAGACTCACACAGACTCACACAGACTCACAGAGACTCACACAGACTCACACAGACTCACACAGACTCACACAGACTCACACAGACTCACACAGACTCACAGACTCACAGAGACTCACAGACTCACACAGACTCACACACAGACAGACTCACACAGACTCACAGACTCCTCGTTTCACCGTTTCACTTTTCCATTCTCACCTTTCCTTGTCTGTGACCTCTGAACTCTTCTGAAACAGTCGCTGGTCGGACTTCTGCCGGACGCATCTACGACAGCTCGACTGTAGAGGCCCCTGCTGGACTGATGGAGGAAACGCACTTTCACCAAAACTCCACTCATGTGTCTGTAAGACCGACAACTCTGCGCTTCACATCTGTAAACACTGGGCCAACATCTGCTCTTAGAAACATTTATAAACAAAAGTGAAATTATTTTTTTTTACAAACGCTTCACAAAGTTGAGCCAATATTCAACCCCAAAGACCTGAGTGTGTAAAAAGGAATTTAACCACAACATCTGAAAATATGATGATGTTTCAAATTCTACAACGTGAACTCAACCTACTGATGCTTTGCAGTGGCATCACGCCGGGGGTGTTCTGCATGTATGTCTGTGGCAGATTGTTCAGCAGTTACCATGGTGACACAATGCTCAAATGTGTTAAGAAAAAAATAAATAAATAAATAAATAAATAAAAAAAAAATATATATATATATATATATATATATATATATATATATATATATATATATATATATATATATATATATATATATATATATATACATACACAAAATGTATTTAAATGGCACATTTTCAGAAGCCTGTGTAGTCAGTACTAGTAGTAGTATATTCTACTACTATAAACTACTATAAACTATAGTATAGAGTATATATAGTATATAGTAGTTTATTTGGTCATTTTGCAGCACTACAAAAACAAAACAAATCAAACAAAAAAGATCACAACCCACAACCCCATGGATCATGACTGAAAGAGTTTAGGCTGAAGTAAAAAGTGCTTAAATCTTTTAAGTTACTCATTGATCTTTTGCAGTGTACAATAAATGTTGATGATTTTGAAGGGAAAAGTATATATATATATATATATATATATATATATATATATATATATATATATATATATATATATATATATATATATATATATATATATATATATATATATATATATATATATATATATATATAGGTTCGCTACAGAACTCATGACTGTACTGTTATTTGAGAGTGACTTGTTTAACAGCACAGATCAGTTCACCAGCTGTAACTCAGTTCTTTCTGGTTGGATTTTGTTAAAAGAAAACTCAGATTAAAGTCTAATTTGAGTAACAGAGTTTCAGACAGAGCAGTGCCTTCAGTTAGCATCACACTCCCAGGTAAAGTTGGCCACACCAGCTGTAAAGTGTCAACACTCCTCTGAGTCTGTGTTACGTGACTTTTACTTGTTGTTCCTCAGAGCCCTGGCAGTAAACCGGCAGAAGAGAACGCCTCTCTGGAGAAGATCCTGGACGAGCTGAAGCTGGTGGAACGTTCTCTGGTCCGTCTGAAGGGTCCCCACGAGGAGCCCGGGTGGTGGACGCAGCTCGCCAAAAAAATCAACAAGGTCTTCTTCGTGGTGTACGTGGCGATGGTCGGCGTGTTCTTGACGTACACCTACATCGAGTGGCAGAAGGACGACTAGAGGCCAGAGGGGGGCGCTGTTTAAAGCTGCACTGGGGCACTTTTCTGGTGGAGAATCCGTCACCTGCTTCTTGTTTCTATGGAGACGTCATTGCTCTGCCTGGAAGGTTCCACAGTGTGACATTAAACAGCTCTACTTTACATTTATTCAATTACAGGTGATTTTGAAGGCGTTCTGACTGTGAGCGGCGTCGCCTCTCCACAGATCTGACTTGTAACTTGGTCTGGTTTAGTCTCCATGGAGATAGAAAGGTTTAATCCCACACTGTGAAACGGTCCGTGCAACATTCGTTCTTTTAAATTTCAATTAAGAACGAAAAACAATAAAATGGGAAAACAGTTTATTGAATTTTTCTGTTTTAGTGTCAAACAAAAAAACAGATTTTCACCTCTATTTCCAGTATTTAATTTAAAGTTTCAGTGCCTATTTCAATTTAGAATTTTTATTCTCTCTGGTTTATTTGCCCCGTGGACTTCAACACCCAGGTTCAGGTTCAATGATTTTCTAAGATAGTAGAAGTAAATGCTTTGCTGTAAAAGAAGACGACATGTTTGTTTGTCCACGAAACTTCAACGATTTTTCAGGTGATTCCTTCTGGCAGCAGAACTTCTGGAGTAAATAAACCAGAGAGAATAAAATGTCAAAATTAAAATAGGCACTGAGATTGGTGTTATTTGAAATAAACTTATTAAATATTGGAAACAGAGGGTGAAATCTGGTCCGTGTACCTTTTGTTCTTTTGAATTTCAATTAAGAACGAAAAACAATAAAATGGAAAAACTGTATTTAATTTTTCTGTTTTAGTGTCAAACAAAAAAACAGATTTCGATCTACACTACCGTTCAAAAGTTTGGGGTCACTTAGAAATGGCCTTATTTTTGAAAGAAAAGCACTGTTTTTTTCAATGAAGATAACTTAAACTAATCACAAACACACTCTATTCATTTCTAATGTGGTAAATGATTATTCTAGCTGCAAATGTCTGGTTTTTGATGCAATATCTACACAGGTGCACAGAGGCCCATTTACAGCAACTGTCACTCCAGGTTCTAATGGTACAATGTGTTTGTTCATTGCGTCAGAAGGCTAATGGATGATTAGAAAAACCCTTGTGCATCATGTTAGAACAGCTGAAAACAGTTTATCTGGTTAGAGAAGCTATAAAACTGACCTTTCTTTGAGCAGGTTGAGTATCTGGAGCATCACATTTGTGGCTCAAAATGACCAGAAAAAGAAGAACTTTCATGTGAAACTCGACAGTCTGTTCTTGTTCTTAGAAATGAAGGCTGTTCCAAGCGAGAAATGCCAAGAAACTGAAGATTTCCTACAGCGGTGTGAACTACTCCCTTCAGAGAACAGCACAAAAGGCTCTAAGCCCGAGTAGAAAGAGAAGTGGACATCTTGACCGTACGGAACACGAGAAGTGTCCATCCAGTCAATCCAACTTGTGGGAGGAGATTCTTGAAGCGTGGGGTGAAATTTCTCCTGATTACCTCAACAAATGAACAGTTAGAATACCAAAGGTCTGCGATGCTGTAACTGCTGCAAATTGAGGATTCTTTGTCGAAAGCAAAGTTTGAAGGAAAAAAATTACAATTTCAAATACAAATCCTTATGTCTAACCTTGTCAATGTCTTGACTATATTTTCTATTCATTTTACAACTCATATGGTGGTAAATAACAGTGTGACTTTTCATAGAAAACACAAAATTGTCTGCATGACCCCAAACTTTTGAACGGTAGTGTAAGTTTATTTCAGATAATCATTGTGCCTATTTTAATTTTCAATTTTTTATTCTCTTCTAGAAGCTGAACTTCCGGGGCAAATAAACCAGAGAGAATAAAATATCAAAATTGAAATGGGCACCGAGACTGTTTTCTGATTGGCGTCATTTGAAATAAACTTTAAATTAAATATTGGAAATACAGGTTGAAATCTGTTTTTGTTTGACACTAAAACAGAAAAATGAAATAACAAACTGTTTTCCCATTTTATTTCATTTTATTTTTTGTTCTTAATTGAAATTCAAAAGAACCAACGGTACATAGACCTGAAACATTCCCGACAAACCAATAACAATTCCATGGAGAAAAGAGTTTGACGGACCCTCTGCCAGGAAAGTTACACAGTGCAGCTTTAAGTATTGGACTTCCTGTGAGTTTTAAAGGGCAAATATTACACCAAAGAGACTTCTGTGAACTTTAAGCCATGTTATAATATTGTTACCTCATCAAAAACATTATATAAACTCATAAAAGTGTATTTACCACAGTGTATTTCCTCATAATAACCAACATGATTCTAGCAGCTATGGTTTAAGCCTCATTTAAACTGATTTTAATACATTTTTTTGGTCACAAATGTGAAATCCAAACGATGGAATGGCCAGTATTAAATGTTATTCACCGTCTCCCCCTGCTGACGTATTCAAGTACTGCATGAGCTCTTGGTAAACGTCAAATAAAAATGTACAAATCTACAAACGAACAAACGGTGTAAAGTGATTTTTTTTTTTTATTTTTTATTCATTTTATTTCAAACATTTTAGTTACATTGCAAATATTCTGCATGACGTCGAAAACACCTGAGCGACGCAGCATCCACCAGGAATGTTACACAGTGCAGCTTTAAATAAAGCAGCTTTAAGTACAGCAGCCCAGAGTTTGATATGAATGAAGAGAGAAACCAGGACTAAACCAGGTCTAAACCAGGACTAAACCAGGTCTAAACCAGACTAATCCAGGACTAATCCAGGACTAATCCAGGTCTAAACCAGGACTAATCCAGGACTAATCCAGGACTAATCCAGGTCTAAACCAGGACTAATCCAGGTCTAAACCAGGACTAAACCAGGACTAAACCAGGTTTAAACCAGGTCTAAACCAGCTAAACCAGACTAATCCAGGTCTAAACCAGGACTAATCCAGGTCTAAACCAGGACTAATCCAGGTCTAAACCAGGACTAATCCAGGTCTAAACCAGGACTAAACCAGGACTAATCCAGGTCTAAACAGGACTAAACCAGGTCTAAACCAGGACTAAACCAGGACTAAATCCAGGACTAATCCAGGTCTAACCACTAATCCAGGTCTAAACCAGGACTAAACCAGGACTAATCCAGGACTAATCCAGGTCTAAACCAGGACTAATCCAGGACTAAACCAAGTCTAAACCAGGTCTAAACCAGGACTAATCCAGGTCTAAACCAGGACTAAACCAGGACTAATCCAGGTCTAAACCAGGACTAATCCAGGTCTAAACCAGGACTAAACCAGGTCTAAACCAGGACTAAACCAGGACTAATCCAGGACTAATCCAGGACTAATCCAGGTCTAAACCAGGACTAATCCAGGTCTAAACCAGGACTAAACCAGGACTAATCCAGGACTAATCCAGGTCTAAACCAGGACTAATCCAGGACTAAACCAAGTCTAAACCAGGACTAAACCAGGTCTAAACCAGGACTAATCCAGGTCTAAACCAGGACTAATCCAGGACTAAACCAAGTCTAAACCAAGTCTAAACCAGGTCTAAACCAGGACTATACCTGTGTGTAAATACTTTCATGCAGATAGAACAGGTAAATGGTTTCTCCTGAAGTGAACTTTCAAATCATGTTTATTTCTCCGTATAAGAAGGAGAAGAAGGAGGAAAAAGAGGGAGGAAAGGGGGAAGAAAAAAGGGAAGAAAAATCCAGCAAGTCACAGGTTCAAATCCAGACCAGAGCAAATGAACAGATTTTACAATCAGTTATTTACTTAATTATTAAAAACTTTGTCCAAAATACTAATATTTGTCCATTTAAAGGCATTTACTTATGTAATAACTTCTCATTAACATCATAATGTTATTGTAAAGTCTGACTCAAACTGAAAGCAGCTTCTTGGTATTTTAAATTCTTCTAGAATTTACTGTAAATGAACACGACACAATCAATTACACAAAGAAATATATTTATTAACACGTAGGGCTGGTATCATTCAGAATTTGCCGATATGATACATATCTCCATACAGTGAACTTATGATTCAATACGATTCAATAAAAAATAAAGTCTCGATCGTGTCTGTGATACTAAAAGTCTGTGTTAAATCACTTCTTCTTGTGCAAAGTTCATATGAAACACAAACATTTAAATCTTCAAAACAGTAAAAATGTCAAATGTGTCACAAAAACAAGTTTCCTTCCTCTGAACAAACCTCAAAACTGTAGGTATAACTAAATAATTTAGTCAAATAAACCTAAAAATACTCTTGGCAATTAGGGATGGGCATGATTAATCGATAATTGATTATTAAGAATTTCATCGATTACGTTCATTTTAATCGACAAACCGAATGTAGGTTACTGTGTGTAGTGTGACCAAACAGGTGTGTACATGTGTCTCTGCATCAGAAACAGTGGGTCAGTCTGTAACGAACCGAAGCACAAATGTGGATTTAACGATGATTTGTACAAGAAATTCCACACTTTCCGTTGCGTTGGGACAAGTGTGAGTCCATGTGCACAGTGGATAAAGCAGCACATATGTTTCTGTGTCCAGTGGGAAAAAGTTTTTCCAGGTGAGAGTCGCTCAATGTGGATGACGAGGCCCCGCCCCCCTCCCCCCGTACGCTGTCCTGGTTTTGACAAACACAAATCTGGTCACACTGACCTGTATTCACCTGAGTCATGTCTTTTAATCCAACAGAAACTGAACCACATCAGCGACACAAGAGCTGGAGTTTTATCTTCGCTGAGTTTATGTAAATTAGCGATGTGGTTTTAAGTTTCGTTTCTGTGAGATTTTGTTAGAGAATTTTTATGTTATAAGCATTTGTCATGTAAAGGTAATCATGATGTCGTATAAGTTATCAACATTGGCTTTTTGTTTTACTTGTCTTGTTGTGTTCAAGCTGTATCAGGTGATCTTGCTGATGCGTCGGCTGACTCATTAAAGATAATGTACCGGGAGAAACAAATAGTAATGGTAAACATCAGGAGGTTAACACAGAACTC